GAAGAAGAAGAAGAAGAAGAAGAAGAAGAAGAAGAAGAAGAAGAAGAAGAAGAAGAAGAAGAAGAAGAAGAAGAAGAAGAACCCTCCCCCTGAACAAGGAGAGAGACACTGTGAGGGGCAGGAGCAGCAAGACGGCTGCACTTTCTCAATAATGGAAAACAGGGAAGAAGAAAGACTGAGTAATTTCCCTACCAACAGAGAGAGTTTGAACAGTAATTATTATCATAGAGCCAACCAAGTAAAGAAATAATTAGTATTTTGCCTATGCCAACATAGCATTTTAGTGAGGTATTGAATCTGCTCTTATCTTTATCTGTGCAAGTAATATTATATATATATATATATATATATATATATATATATGCCTACATACATTATTGGTTGTTCATATGTACATATATATGTTTATGCATACACATATCTATCTATTTTTCTCATTTAGTCATGAGCTATGTATCAGTGATGATGAGGAGATGTAAGAGGTAGATTTTCATGAGACAAAAGTAGATCAGGGAGTTCTCAGCCTGTTCTTCCAAAAAATTGATTTATCTGGGTAAGCATCCTGACTTTCACTTTTAGTTTGAAGTTCAAAATAAGAACTTGCAAAACATTGATTTTTTTTCTAATTAGAGTTGTTATTTTCCTATTTTAGTGATCTCTTGTTAACATAAAAAGTGCAAAGTAATATTAGAAATGTTTTGGCCTGCTTTAATCTTGACTTTTCTGGAAATACTATCATACCTATGTGTTAGATCACAGGCAGTAGATAGTTTTTGGTGCAGAGGAACACTTGGTTCACACAATGTTGATGTATTAGTATGAATACTGAATGGAACTTCAGAGTAATATGTTTGGATTACTCATAAGAATCTAAAACTATGACCTAGCTGTAACTGTGATCTTTATTTCTGAGTGTGGGCAAACCAATGTCCTTCCCTAAGGCTTGTATTCAAAAGAATAAATTACACATGACCAAAACCACAGGCGGTACCAAGTCGGTATTGTTTTATTTGATTAAAAATCTATAGAATCTTAAGTAGACAGTAAGAATGCCTTTTAGTTTCACCTTTTTCATTAAACCACAATATATTTCTATGCTTTTTATAACGTGAAATACTTACTGTCAAGCATGTCTTTGACATTAGGTATATATTTTCCAGGAAGTACATAAAAATTGATCACAGGAGACATATTCTCTATTCATTTTACATTTCTGAAACCTAGTGAAATCTTTAAATTAACATTTTTTCCAACTATATCATAGAGATGGTCAAAGATCAAAAGGACTCTATGCTCCTGTGAAAGCACATAAATATCCCAAGGCCACCGTCTGAGTTAAAATGTCTTTCCTATTCATTTGTCTTCTGCCTATGCATAAAAGTTAGAAGGTGTGATGCTTTGAGACTTCCACATTCTGTGCAGTGCTTAAAAGCAGTAGGAGGAAGAAGTATTTTGGAAGAAAGTCCTTTCAATCAGCCAACTCTAGAGCAGAGGTTGTGAAACTTATCAAGGTACTGGTGTGCTTGTTAGAGCACAGGTCACTGAGTTCTATTCTCAGGGCTTCTAATTCAGTAGGTCTTGGGTTAGAATCAGAAACGTTCATATGGAGCAAGTTCCCACATGCTAGTGATGCTGCTAGATCAGCAGTCACACATTGGAAAGTACTCGTGTAGAGCTGGATTCTGCAGATTCTAATCTAAAGGTCAAAAGAAGTCTTGTAGAATTTTAAATAAAGTTTTACTACAACATAGCTACATTCATATATGCATTTTATCTCTGGCTATTTTCACACAGTAAAGGCAGAGACAAGTTATTGCAATGGACACCTTATGTCCTGCAACTAGCTATCCAGGCCCTTTATAGCAAAAGTTTGTTGGTCTCTGTCTTAGAATATCATCTTCAAAATTGCACTTTGTCAGAGCCAACCACCTAAATAACTTTTAATCTATGTCAATGGCACAAACACACACACACACACACACACACACACACACAAAAATCAAAATTATTAACATTCTAATTTTAAATGTTCCCTTTGATGGTTCAGCTGGTAGAGCAGAAGACTGCAGCATAACTTTAATTTTAGAAACATGCCAAGGTCTTAAGGATTCGTGAGGGTTTTTTTTTAATGTATTTAGTACAGAGTCTACAAGGTCTTCTTACACAGATCAGACTAGTAGTGATATTTCCTGTTTTTCAGTCTCCCAAGTGCTGAGATTATAGGCACACACCACCACCACCACCCCCAGTCAATTGTCTCAGTGTGCTCTGGGAGTGGCACCAGCAAGGCATGCCAGGGATTGAACCCCAGTCCTTGTGCCTGCTTAATCACACACTTAATCTCTGGAGCTATCTGGCCAGCTTTTTTTTTTTAATGTTTTTAGGGATTTGTAAGTCTTATAATTCCTTTTATAAAATGAGATTGTGTTTTAGCCCTTTTTGCTATTATAATAAAATATTGTTCTTTATGAATACTGAGTGATTTATAAAAGCAGAGATGTATTTGGCTCATGTTTCTGAAGTCTAAGAAGCCCACGACTGCCACACTGACCATGCTAAGGGCCTTGGAGCTGTGTCATAATGAGGTAGAATGGCTGCTTTCACTTGGTTCAGTGAGAGGAACGATTTGTAGTAGTAGTGTTTGGACAGGATATCCTGGCTGCTTCTTGTGCTGTGCGTGGATCACCGCTGAGAAGATAACAATGTGCAATGTATTCATTATTAAAAAGGTCTTATTAATCAGCTTTAAAGTGCCTCTTTGATATTTGTTTCTCAATAAAACAAATAAAAAATAATAATAATGGGGTAGAGGGGACAATGGGTGCAGAGAGGAGAAAGAGAGAGAAGAGGTGGGAAGAAATCAACCATTTAACAGCATCATGGTCCTCAGCAGTCATGAGGCCTGTGTATAACCAAAGAGAGTAGTAGATGATATAGATTGTTTTATTCCAGCAGAGTAGGTTATTTCATGTACTTGGAGGAGAAAGTTTTCAATTAAAAAATTATAATCAATTCAGGGAAGCAACACACAAAAATGAATTCAAATCATGACCAGTTAAAAAGTTGTCCTGGTGTGTGGGAGAGCTTCAAGCTACCAGGTTTGGGAGGCACCTGCCTGTCCCAGCCCAGGTGCAGCATGGCTGAGACCCCCTTCCATCCCCTTGGGACCACACCACCACTCAGCAGCACACCCCTCACCCCAACCACTGAGTGAAAATTTCTGCCAAGTTCTGGTGACCCCCAGATCCAGTCCTAGCCCAGAACCAGTGAATGTGTGGGAAAGCTTCCTCTCCCCCCTACTCCTATTTGTCCCCTCCAGACTCAGCATACAAGGCTGAGGCATACAAGCCTGAGGTGAAACCCTTCAGCTGCAATCCCTGCAGAGACAGTAGGGGACAAAGCCACACAGCTAGTCCAAGAGCAGAACATCTTGCCAAAGGGGCATAATAGGATCACTTCCAAGGGCAGCAGCGGGAAGAAGCTAAGCACAGCAACCAGACCCAAGCCAGGAACAGCAGGATAAACCCAAACTTTGTAGATTTGCACCTGAATTCCAGAAGGTGTTAAGGTTATAACTGCACCAAAGCTCTACAACAAAGGTCGGAAGACAGTGCTACACAAAATGATAACAAGAAGGAGAAAAATGCAATCTCAGAACCAAAGCCCACCCATAACAAGTGCAGAGGACACGAGCACAGAACAAATTGTGAACCGCACAGCTAAAATCAATCAATCAACAGCTTCTGAAATAAAGAAATAACCACAGAAAGGTATAGAGGACCTCAGATTGGAAATGAAAAAATAAATCCCTGAATTAATAGCATCTGCAGTAAAAAATCAAAGGTAGAAACATATGGAGCAAACCCAATGTTCACCCAGAACAAGGACAGAGGACACTAGTTCAGCTGAAAAGTATGAATTAATAGAATCGATAGTAAATAAGCAACAGCAGAAAGTTATAGAGGAACTCAGAGCAGAACTCTTTTCCACTAGCACAACTCAAATGTATGAATTAATAGAATCTATAGTAAAAAAGCAACAGCAGAAAGT